ACGATTCATCAGGTGATGATTCTATCCAAACGAGAAGAACTACAGCGGACAAGTACGATTCATCAGGTGATGATTCTATCCAAACGAGAAGAACTACAGCGGACAAGTACGATTCATCAGGTGATGATTCTATCCAAACGAGAAGAACTACAGCGGACAGGTACGATTCATCAGGTGATGAGTTCCAAACGAGAAGAACTACAGCGGACAGGTACGATTCATACGAGAAGAACTAGAAAGTATAACTACAATGAATTTAATAGGAAAAGATAAAAGTCAACGTATAAATTACATTCCTTTGGTAACTGTGATTTTGAAATGAATATTGGTTTCTCGGAAGTAGTTATATAAACAAATAACTATTATTTTACACCATATTAATTTATAGAAGTAAATGTCAATTTTTATCATTATTAAAATAAAGAAATTATTACTTTATTTGTTTTTATTCAAATATTTAGGATTTAATAAAGGAATATTCTTGAAGAATCAAGAGATCATGAATATTCCATGCGTGATATTATTAATTGTTACTGATAAATATAAGATTTAAATTATTCTGTAAACCCTTTTTTTGCCAGGGGGGCTTATTTTTGCGATATTTTTTTTTTAATAAGATTCTTATTGTAATGAGTTCAAAGAGTGTTTATTTCACATATATTTGCTTAGCATAATTAAGAGAATTAATATAGTTAAACTCAATTAAATACAGTCGCCACTGGTCACTGGTTATAACGAAACCGAATCGGAATTTCCAGAATCGATTTTTATAAATAACTTCACTGGATATAACGAACTTTAATAATAAAACGCATCTCGAACAGCCCCTATGTAATACTATTATATTCTTTACAAGTATAACGAACAGTCATGTGACTATATACTTGTACTAAACCAGGCCAAATTTATAGTGCTGGCCAGGATGGAGCTTTCTCTCTTCCCTTGAAATTACTTATATTAATTTTCAGCTTAAATTAATCTTTTGTTTGATAATCGCATTATAGTTGCGTTACAGATAATTGAATTATAAATTAATATTCGAAATTTTGAATAAAATCAATTCTAATTTATTTTTTTCGTTATTATACTAGGAAAACGAAAACCGTTAAAGTTCGTCGCGCTTATTTACCCAGAATCTTTTTTTATTAAAAAAACATCATCAGTGAAACAAGTAAAAAGTGATACATAATCAAGAAAGGAAAAAGCAGATAATTAGTGAGGTGACGTCAGCGGATGAACAGAAGGAAAATTTCATGGGTTAATCCAAAATCGTTAGTTCTTTATAAGTGGAAAGTCCTTCGCTACGCTCCGGACAATAAAGTCACGTGACAAAATGATTGGAGCTCTAAGTAAACAACGAGGTGACAAATTATACGTGGTACAGGAAATGTTTTACCCGAGAAATTAGGCGTCGCACATTATTTATAAGCAACCTACTATGAAGTCATATGCGCTCTTATCTATTATATATAAAATAAAATAATAGTAATAATAGTAAGCAGTCGCGCTTGGCTTATCTACTTTAAAAAATCACATGCGCTGAAATTTTAAAACGATGTACGCTGCGCCCAACTGCGCGAATCTCAATGTTACATAAACAAACAACTTTGAGTAACATTCATGTTTATATAAAAAGATATCATACGTTAATTTTTTTTGCTGCATTTTCTTTTTTTACTGAAAATTATTTTTAAAAAAATGGCTGACAACGAACTTTTACAAAAATTATCACAAAATTTACTTGAAATTTTAGATGATGATGAATATTGTGATATTACTATTGAAGTTGGTAATGACCCTTACGTAAAAATATTCCGAGCTCATATGGTAATTTTAAATTATCGTTCTACTTATTTACGTAGAATTTTATCAACTAATAAAAAAAAGAATGATGGAACTTTGGTACAAATTAAATTACCAAATATTTCACCAGATATTTTTCAAATAATTTTAAGGTGAGAGAAATAAACAAATTAAATTTACGTTCTTATTATTAGATATATTTTATTTATTTATTTATTTATTTATTTTTAATCGTTGAATGATTTTAGGTATTTATATGGAGGGAAATTATCTTTGGAAGAATATGATACTTTAGATATTATTAAAATCTTGATCGCCGCCAATGAATTAAGTCTTCAAGAATTGGTCACTCGTTTACAATCCTTTTTGATTACAAACAAAACGAATTGGATGGAACAAAATTTTAATTTAATATACCAAACAAGTTTTGAAAATAATTCTTTCTTAGAACTTCAGAAATATTGTACTAATTTAATTTCTGAAGATCCAGATAAAATATTTGAATCATTAGATTTCTCTAAAATTCCGGAAAATCTTTTAAGTTCAATTATTCAATGTGATAATCTTCAAATGGATGAAGTTCAAATATGGGATCATACTCTTAAATGGGGTCTTGCTCAAAATCCTGGTCTTTCATCAGATCATTCCACTTATTCAAAAGATGATTTTAATTCTTTAAAGAATACGTTACAACATTGTATTCCTTTTATAAGATTCTATAATTTAACTTCAAAAGAATTTTCTGATAAAGTATTACCTTATAAGAAAATTTTACCAAAGGAATTATATAAGGATTTATTAATAACATTTTTAAATTTGAATCCTGATAGTAAGCCAATTGGTAAATCAAAACCTCGTAAAACGAAATTAGAAGAAAAAGAAGAGTCTAATACAGATGACGAAGATATGGGGTTTGGTTTATTTGACTGACAATAGATGAATAACAAATAATATTGATTTTGCTGACAATAGACGAGTATCAAAACAGAATCTACATATGATTGACAAAAATTACAAAGTGGACGATTATAAGTCAGTAACATATAAGAATAAACTAATTAAACACATAAACGCGAAAGGCTATATTTCTAAAGATGAAGACTATACTACGGATGAAGATATTACGAAAGAATAGTTTACAGATGAAAAGTCGACGTATAAATTCAATTTTGCATTCCTTTGCCACTGTGATCTTGAAATGAATATTGGTTTTTCGGCATATGTTTAAAGTGGCTATATAAACAAATAACTATTATTTTTACACCATATTAACTTATAGAAATTAATGTCAATTTTTATCATTATTAAATAAAGAAATTATTACTTTATTTGTTTATTCAAATATTCGGATTTAATAAAAGAATATTTTTGAGGAATCAAGAGATTATGAATATACCACGCGTGATATTATTAACTTATTACTGATAAATATAAAATTTAAATTGTTCCATAAAATCAATAAACACCCTTTTTTTTAAGTGAACAAAATGAAAAGTTTGGAAGGGGCTTATTTTTGCGATATTTTTTTTTTATGAGGTCCTGCAAAGTTCCCAATCATATTTTCTATAACGAACAGTCATGTGACTATACACCGAATTTATAGTGTTGGCCAGGATTATCGAAAATATAATTTCTGCCAGCACTACAATTTTGGCCCAAATTATCTAAAACAGAAAACTAGTTTGGTATATTATATAACAATTCACCATATGACCGGTTTGATTTGTTAATTAAGAATTTGTTAGACCTATATAAAATATCTATCTTTAGGTAAATTAATAAATATGTAACTAATAAACTTGATTCTAAATCATTTTAATATTAAATTATTAAATTTTAGAATTATTTTTATGTTATAATATTATATTACTGCTTTTGACTTTTTTTTGTAATTTATCATATTATTTAAATCTAAATTCAATTCTAAACCGAGTATAATGAAATTAATATTAGTAAATATAGCAAACATTCAGGAAATAATTTTTATAGTTTGGGTAAAATCTTGCTATTAACAATGTTTTTTATAAAATTATAAAATTGCAAATTGCTTGTATTTTTTTTATATAAATTCTTTAATTGCAAATAAATAATAAATAATTGAAGGTAGTTATATTATATAAATTAAATAATTAAATATTTGATGAAAGAAATAGAAAAATATAAAGATTGCAGATCATAAATGATGTAGTTTTTTCCAATATAAAGTTATCTTATAGATCATTATATGATTTAGTTAAATATTTAAATTGAAATTTGTATAAAAAGTAGAAAAAATTGATTATTTTTTTTTTTTTTTTTTTTTTTTTCCACTCGCGTAAACGTGAAACTCCTTTATTAAATTTGTAAAAAGCGCACCATTTACAAAAGCAACCTCAAAGAATCACATTGAAGTAACCAGTGCAAGCACTGATTCAACCTCTCCATACCGGGCGCTTCGGCCTACCGCTCGGTCAACCCACGATCCCCTTTAAATACTACACAACTACAAGAAAAACTATCTACCTATAAGTTATATTTACCTATATACACTATACAATGTCTATATTAAGTGAAACTACTTCTTTTTAACTAATCTACATCTACCTCCTCTATCTCGTCCGTGACTACCTGGTTTTCCTCCTCTTTTGTTATTTGATTCTGTACTTACCACCACTTGATCTTCTTCATCTTCATCACTATCACTTTCTATTCCTTCTTCCTCCATTACACGGTCATCTTGTTTCTTTCTTAAGCGTTTCCGTTGTTCTACTTCTTCTTTTGCTTCTTTTAATACCTTCTTGTAAGTATCAATCATCCCATCGAGTCGCTTTACATATTCTGGAGTAAAAATCTTTTCTTTCTTTTTTTCCTTTTTTTCACCTAGCCTCTTGCTACATGTTTCATTTATTGATTCATACTCGTGCATTTCTAATGGTGATACCTGTT